GCCATTCAGCTGAGAAAGATTGTATTTGCCTACATTCTTTTAATGGAAAGGTCGGTAATTGACAATAGTGGGTACTCCATTATCCAATTGTTTCCTTTAAGACCAATTCAAATTGCAGATTACCCATTAAAAAACAAGGGGAAATAAACAAAACCCACAAAGCAGATTAGCTGTGGACCATTTTGGGTTGAACCCATTAGTTGTACAAAATTTCAACACATGCAGCACCAACTTTTGCCCATAGACCTAAAATGAATTTGACTGCACCTAAGAACACGATCAAGTTCACATTAACCTCTTAGCTGGATCCTAATAACAAAGATTCTATCTAGAATCCTTTTTCTGGCATTTATGACACAATTGGAAATTATGCAAATATTTGTATTTATACTTTTAATTGTAGAATTTAGCTGAGTAAGAAGAATGAAAAGCCGTGTTAAAAAAAGAACGAGAGTAAAACCTCATGATAATGGATGATTACTGGCTTAAGAAACCTGAGGATATTTGAGGAAGGGACAAAAATGATTACCCCACAAGTTCCCCCACTTGAACTAACCAACACCTTAATCACTCCGCAGAATTTGACAGTCCTGTCTGGAATTGTCAATGAAGTTCAGACAAAAATGTTGCAGACCATTCATGGTTACCTTACTTTTCCCAAAAACCCAAGAGCTAAAACTTAAAAATAAGGATGACAATAAATTAACAAGAAAAAGAAATAAAAAAATTAAAAAAAAACCTTTCAACCCTTAAGATAAATACAGAATTAATCCTCTTGAAAAACTAATTAACAAAAGATCTCTATGTAATTAATGGAGATCTAAATGCACAAAGGCTTTTCTTGTCAAGTGGATTTGAACATTGTAGGAGAAGAAGCCAGTGGAAGTACCTTGGAAGAGCTTGGAGGATTTTGTGGTAGATTTTGGTGATGATGCTCTCTCTGGTTTTCCTTGTTCTTACCAACAACCAGTCTTATAAAAGACCCATCTTTCTCTTCTGTTGCCATTGTTGAATTGGGTGTAGCTTTAACCCCAGAATCCTGAGCAGACCCACAATTTTTAGCTGCCCTTTTCTCAGCTTCTTCCATCAGTCTTCTGAACAATTTCTCCTCTGCATCCCTTAAAAACTTGAACTTCGGAGGGGGAGAAGATCTCAACCTGCTCAGCTCAGCTTCTGTTGATGATTCAAAGAGAGGATTGAATCCATGGTGTTTGTAAGAGTCCAAAGAGCTCAAAGGTGAGGACTTTAATGATGGGGAGGGCAAAGGGGAAAGGTATGGAGTGTCTACAGACAAAATAAGATCACTCAAGCTTCTTGTTCTTGACCCTTTTCTACTTCTATCACCTCTCGATTTCCCATCTTCAGATTCCAAATCCTCCTTTGTCTCCTCGTTGATTGTGAAGAGAAATCTAGGTGGGCCAGCAAGATTATGCAGCCTCATGAGCTCTGATATTTCCACATTCTCTTCTCCATTGAGCTTGAGCAGCAAATCCTTGCTAGACCCCAGTTCTAAATCTGATTCACTACTGCTATGATTGGCATCTGGTTCTCTAACATTCTCCTGAGAGTTACTGTTGGTCTGCAAAGAAGAGGGTTTTTTCCAGCAACTAAATTGAAAGAGCTCCTTTGCATGGTTGCTGTAATCTTCTTCAATCTCTCTGTTGGTGATTCTCTTCTTCCACCATAGCAAGTAGTAAAGCTCTGCAACAAGTGCCAAGAGGAGGCACCCGAAAACTAGGCTCAAACCAATACCTAATCCACTGAAAGATGTCATCTTTGCCTTGAATTTCACATCCCCACAACAACTAAACCTGGACTGATCATAACCTCACAGCTCTAGAATCTCTCAGTTTTCCACTATAAACAAATCCCACAATAAAAAAAAATAAGTACCAATTCAACAAGAAAATTTAGAACCCAAAAAAAGTGCTGCTTTTTTCTTTTCTTACTGAATTTCTCACACCATAATAAATCTGCATAGAAGTTGCCTCAAACACACGCTACGAGAAAATTCGGCGCAAAAAAAAAAAAAGGAAAATAAAAAACTTACCTTTAAAGTCCAAGATTTAAACCACCCAGAAAGGGCCACATCCACAACTTGTGTAGAAGTAGAACCAATGAAGAGTAAACGCTCAGGTTATAAAATATAGCACAAGTCAAAATAAAATTTGGCTAAGCATCGGCTAGCCTAAAGAGGCTTTTTCCTTTTTTCTGTCCTTTGCTTTGCTAAGGAGGCAAGGAGGCGCTTAAATTAGTTTTTTTTTTCTTTCATTTTTTATGATTGGAGTATGTGTGTGTGGGATGGCTGGAAAGCAACCCACATGGGTTTGCAAAAGCGTGTGCGCCATTTTAATCATTAAGTAAAAATAAGAAAAGGAAAGAAAAGGTTTGGAGTGTGTGTTTATCTTTCGTGTGAATTTCCTTGTAATGTTGGATGTAACATTAGAAAGAATGAAACTTTCTAAACATATCATGTGAAACTTGATAAGCAAATTAACTAGGATCTTTGACAAATAAGGATATGCGTGAGAAGAGAAAAACTTGTGCGAAATTGTTCCTTCTGTATGTTATATCGTTAAGTGTGTTAGGTGTCACTTATGTGTTTACTTTATTTAAAGAAATGAAAGGGCAAGTAAGTCCCAAAAAAAATAAATCAGGAATTCAACTCCTGATTTTGGAGTAATATGACTCTCAGATGGGATGTGGTATTCTAATTCATCAGGAATCCATCTTTTTTATCAATTATATGCTCATATAATTTTTAAAATTTCATATTTTTAGTCAACTTTAACCCAACAACAAGGATATTTTAATAATCAAACTAAGTTCAGTTATGATTCATGGGAAATTAGTAAACAACTTATAAGGAATTAGTACTATTCCTGCTTTACTTTCAAATAGTTTAGTAAACAACTTCAACATGAATCTGGATTATGACTCATTCCCAATTAAATTCATCATCATCCAATTACAGATTGGTAAACATATAATTAATGTAAAAACCGAACCAAACATTTGAATAGTTTTTACTCCATCCTTACCCCTACTCAACACCACGTACCATTATCATATAAGGAGAACAGTTCCACACAAATTTTTGTTGTGGAACTTGCACAATGCGCCTGCCCTTCACATAATTGGATGTAATATCCCATACGTCTCACATGATTTTTTTCCTTCTGTCGATGGAGGTGATTTAGGATATTTATTTTGTTTGGTCTTTTCAAAGGATCAGATTAAAGAATGGCTAGTGGAGTGCATGACTCAAGCTGGGCATCCACGTAACCCAGCGTGACTTGAGGACACTGCCAAACAACACACTCGTCGTCACCCATGATATCTAGCTAGATTGCTAGGCCACCAGATGTAAAATGCTCAGCTAACTATTTTTGTTTTTGGTTGGTTTTTGGAGTGAAATGGGTTGTGCAAATGATATTGCTGGAGATTAATGGGTGAGCTAAACGTGTCTAGTCCTCACTCGGTCACTCTTTTTGGAGGCGATCTTCCTTAACATGCTTAGGTATCTTTCCTGGTAAACAAACAGAAAATAAAACAGAATCTTCTGCAAAAAGTTTCTTTGAAATAAAAAATTAAACGATTAATTAAGTGTTGAATTAGCTCTTAGTCTAGTGATATTTCTCTTTTTAAATCAAACATAACTCCATTGTTATTGTTTAGTTTTTGAACTTGTCTGGGTGAGAAGCTTGGCTCTAGCCTTGGTTTTGAGGTCTAGCTACTTGTACCCAACTTTTGTGACTTGCTGTATAATCTGCTTATTCTGGGTTTGTTTAATGACATCAGAATTCGACAAATTTTATTGTATGTGTAGTCTAGATCGATATTCTGTCCTTTATGAATTCAGTAACAAACAAGTATGTGTTTTATTTTTGGTCCAAATTAACATCTGTTTGTACATTTGAGTTGAGAACTTGAGATGGTAAACAAACAGGCTGGTTCAAAGTACTCAAAGTATCAAAGCTGTCGGGAGGTCAAAATTTGGGCTGGTGGGTGGAACAGAAAATATGGTTGAGGCCCATGACAATAGGACTTGTCCAGGCACGTGCCCTAGTTATAGTGGACCCATTTATTTGGGTCATTGATGGTCGCTGAGAGGTCAAATCAAAACCGTTCGTGACTTGCCCGATCATCATCTAAAAAAGTTGCCTACAATTGTCGAGCCAATCTGAAGATGCCTAGTTGTGTTATAACTCCATTTTTAGGGCCCTCATTGTATGTTCTCATAAATGGATAAAGTCGTTCTTGGCAAATTGTTTGTCGGATCGGCATATCACAACAATAGTGCGGAAGTCACAAATTTACGTGGATATTATATATACCGACAAACTTGTAAGATTCTTTTAACAGTCAGATTCTCATAAACCTTAATACCTTTTTTTTTGTTGTTGTTGTTGTTGTTGTTAAGAATTCACTAATCCGATGTTCATCAAACCTAAAACCTGGAGAGTGCCGGGAATGGCCAGATTAGTTCAACTTTGGGTTCAAACCACCTGTTGAACCAACCATCCATATTGATAAGAAGAAACGTTGAATCAACACTGATTAGAGATGAGTTTTTATTGAGTAAGATGAGTTTTTATTGAAGGTTATAGTTCGATATATCTGATATATAAAGAAGCACAATAAAAATAGATAAGTCATTAAATTATTGCCGCTTTAAAGTAAGAGTGATAAATTACAGAAAACGAAAAAAGACTCAAATCACGCCGGTCAATTTTTCCATAGAAAATCCCAACCCTAGTGACTGCAAATAATATCTGCTATTGAGGCAATGTTATTTACACTTTGTCGGCACAGACCACAAGTACAAGTGAAGAATGTGAATCGGGCTCTCCATTTTCAGAAAGTAAGTATGCAGTGTATGTTGGGGTTGGCAGCAGAAGAGGGTGATTATATATACTGGGACAATTTCCGCAAATCCATTTTGTATTCGAAATATAATTCAATGGGATCCATGTGTGGACCTGACTCTTCTGCTCTGCCCTCGACACAAGAGAAGAGAAGAGAAGAGAGGCCTTGCAAATTGCAATGGCATCAGATGCTAAGGGACCACAAACTGAGAGGAACCTTTCTTAATATCCACAGTGGTTTCTGCAATCATTTGATTGGCTTCAAAAGTCACAATTTGGAACCTGATAACAAGAAGGGATTACTCATTAAGTCTTATACAAATTAAACATTCAATCTTAAAATATTAAAAATGAAAGGAGAAACAACAACTCTTCATTTTGGCAATTGAAGAATTTATTAAAACTTGTAATGAAGTCCAACATAATAAATCTATCAAATCAAGTGGTGGGTGACGATGTGCTTTCAATCGACCAAAAAAATGTTTATTTACCCATACAATGCCTTTCTCACCTAATCTTTCTGTTAATTCATTTGAGAAATTAACTGATTGGAGTTGATTGCAAGCTTAAGGAAACTACAAATCATTACCAAAACTACAATATGAGTGTCATTTGACCCTTTTTTTTTTTAAATTTTCCTTTTGCGGTGGATAGGTCTTCGAAGCAAGTTTGGGCTTTCCTCCACTAACAATTAGGCCCAAAGAAAGAGTTTTTTTTTTTTTTTTTTTTGGGGGGGTGGGGGTTTCGAATGGTGATAATTCAATAAAACCGAAAACCTCGCTAGAAACAGAAAGGCCATATAATTACAAAACTAAGCAACCCAGTAAGAAAGCCCAAAAAAACAACTAATCTGTGATATCGTCAAGTTGCAAATCACACTGATCACGTACAACTTTAAATAATATTTTGCAATCCAAACTCATGATCATTTACCTATGCTTTTTCCCCCCTTACTTTCTCGAGATCAGATCCATTCAAATGCAGAAACAATTGGGTAAACAAAGTTTCATTATTGTTGGTCCAAAATTTCCTAAAACACCTCCGGCCAAATAGACCAGGTTAAAAGGACCATTGTCGCATGCAGACTCTGATGTAGTGGGAAAGTAACCTATAAGCTAAGCTAAAACCCTAGAGAAGATAAGAGGGGAGAGAGAGAGAGAGAGAGAGAGAGAGAGTCTGTGAGAGCAGCATCGAATTCGGTGCTATAGGGAAAAATATACACAGCAGCATGCAGAATGATTGATAGGTTGAACTGTGGAGGGTGATGAATGGTGGCGGCAGCATCGATCGGCTACTACCACCATATTACACGCAAAGTTAACGTTAACAAATAAATTACAACAAGAATATTATTATATATATTATATCTAATTAAATAATTAAGTTTTGAACAATTCTTTGCCTAAAGTATGTAGCATGATAGTCAGCGAAAAACCCTTTTATCACGCATGCATTATAATTAGCTAGCTCTACTCTATTTTGTGCAGTAGGCGACTTTGTGTGTGTTTCTTGGGCATTTATGGCGCATGAACATGGTGTTTTCTCTTCTCCCATTTTGTTTATAGTAGTGATTATGATTAATTAACCGAAAGTGCTTGTTACCAAGAGAGAAGATTATGTGATTAAGAGAAGATTAGTGGGTTTGGTAAATAATATTAAAGTTGATGACTTCCAGTGCATTCTTACGTAAATCCAACAATGATGAGGTGGGTTAGAAATCATCAGAATCAATAAACATTGAACAACTAAAAGAATGGATTAAAATGTGGGCTAATTAATTAGAGATTAATGATAATGAATATACAGTTGTATATGTTTGCATGCTTGAGTGACTCACAACCATTGATTGGTATGAGTCTCACACAGATCAAATAAGGTGTATCGACTTGAGTGTTAAACCGTCTAGTTAAAACATAATATGTGTTATAATTTAAACTTTGTAACACATGATACGTTTTAACTGAACAATACTCATAACGTAATCTTTATCTATAGTACTAGAGTTTTAATCATATAAATCAATATTTTGAAACTAAAGATATGTAATTTCTTGTCCTTCTCAAAATGTTCCCTTGATGTTGTGAAAATATTTATTTACTTGGGATGATGGGATGCATAACTTTTTCATTAATTGCTATCTTAATCATAGGGACTACCACTTTTATATTCTTTTGCAGCGTAAATATATTGCTGAAAGACTGAAACCAAAATTCGTTTAGGCAAATAGCCATGCATGCAAATCAGTAAAACCTCTGAACCAGTGTGGTATAATTAGCAATGGCGTCGATTTTGCAAAGTTGGCAATGGCCTATTGGGCACCAAAAACCACCACCACCCGAGCCATAAAAACCCCACCCCCAACCCCCACCACACACCAAAACACACCCAGCCGAGCCAGCCGTAACCCCAAACGATTCAACTTCATCTCATCTCTGCACCTATCTGTTCCCACTTCAATTCCCAAAGCCCTAGCCCTTAGACCTTACAACCCAACCGGCTGTCTTTTTCACCCCCCAATTACTTTTATACCCTCCCTTTCCTTCAATGGCGTACCCCCTACTCTCTCTCTACTCTACTCTCTTTCATTCCCGAGATTAGCAACATTAAGGAACAACAAAAATTCACCTTCATTCCTAGAACCTAGCAAAAAAGGATCATGGGCAAAATCGTCATTTTGCTCATCACACGACGTTTTCGAACAAACACAACAAAAAAGGCCAAGCCCCCCTCATTACTTATTGCTCTCAAATCAGCCGCTACCCTACCCAGCCATGTTTTCAGAGATACTCAGCACCAAAAACAACACGCATGTCAATCCCTCTCTCTCTCTTCGTTGTCGTTTTTGTTTGACTCTCTGTGTCCCTCTATAAAATCAATACAAAACCCCCATGCAAAAAGTAATAACCCCATTGTCGCCTCTCTAATCTCTCTCACTTTTTCTCTCTCTCTTTTGCTCTCTCTTTAAAGTCATAAACCCCTAAACCCTGGAAAAAAAAACAAAGATCAAAATGGAAGGTTATGATGAGCAGCACGTGCAGGGTGACTCGGCACGTGCCGCCGGGGATGGTGCTGCTCCGGGGAGCACAAGTCGGTGGAACCCAACAAAGGAGCAGATCAATATGCTTGAGAATTTTTACAGGCAAGGCATAAGGACTCCGAGCGCCGAGCAAATACAGCAGTTGACAAGTAGGCTGAGGGCTTATGGCCACATCGAGGGCAAAAATGTGTTTTATTGGTTTCAAAATCACAAGGCAAGGCAGAGGCAGAAGCAGAAGCAAGAGAGTGTGGCTTATCTTAATCGCTTTTTCCATATGACATCTCAGCCTATGTTTCCTCCTCCTCCTAATCATCATCCTTGCCCAAATGGTAATTAATTAATTAGCTTTTTATGTATATATTTTGCTTTAATATTCATTGAATTTTGGACAGATTAATCTTGGATTTATTTTTGAGAAATTCTTTCATTCATCCTCTTTGGATATAATAATCTCATTCTTAATAATTTATATGGTGATAAGTTAAAAAAATTTCGATTTTTTTTTTCCATTTGGTTTTTACACACATTTTGTGTCTAATTATATATATATATACATTATATGATTGTCTTCATACTGTCTCTTCATGGAAATGTGCTCGGTATGCGTGCATATACAACTTATTTTACTCGACATAGATTCATGCACGGAAACACTTATATCTTTTTTATCATGTTCTTTTCCAATTGTTGTTACTTGTCAATTCGATCTAGCAGATGTATAAGAATTGCTTTCTCAGATAGAGTCTTCTGGATAGCTTTAAAAAAGTTGTTTATTTTAAATTATCTTTTGGTGGTGGAGCAAAGAAAAAAAAAACATAAAGTTGCAAATTTATGGTATATAATTTGGTGTTTTTAACGTCAGTGATGTGCAGCCCATATTACATACCAGTTCAGAATGAATTAGGGTTCTATCAACCATCTCCATATCCCAATAAGGTTCCTTTTCCTGGTGGAGCCAAGAGGAAACCAAGGACTGAGAAATCCGTTAAGCCAAGAACCACCCGCACTGGTGGCTTTGGATATGAACCTACGCCATACGGATATCGTACTAGCGGAGGCGGCTACATGATCAACGATGTCGCGAATGAATCGACCGGCAGATGTGATCAAGAAACACTGAAAACCCTTCATGTGGTTCTGGTACTGCTAATTTTGCTGACAATTCCACTGCTGCTCTAATTGGCTCTAATTCTGAGATTGTTGGTGACCAACCTTTCTATGACTTTTTCTCTGGATAGAAAGGGCTATGTGTTTTGAGTTTGATTGAATTTCAGGATTGCTAACGATCATTTTGACTTCGTGTTTTTTTAACTGGGCTGTAATTGTTTGTAGTTGGGGTTTTAGTGATAATTATTCGTGGACAAGTGCTTTATATTTCCTCTACTTTGTGATCAAATTCGGGTGTAAGGAAGGAGCGCACTGCCTTAACCAGGCCTCTACATAAAGAACATACTTGTAAGATAAGCTAATAAACATAAATCTGATGCAATTAAGAGTTTTTCAAAGAAAATAAAAAAGGAAATGCAATCGTACTTTTAAAATTGTTTACACACAAAAAATTGGTGGTGGAGTGGAATCGAACCTAAAAATTGGGTGCAAAAGTAAATACTTTTAATCACTTAAGCTATAAGCACCTTGCCAAGTTGTAGTGGAGATATTGATGTTATTCAAATTGTAATAAGTAGTACTTGGTAGAAGGGGTGGGCATCGAGACCAGAAAACCAGAACACCGAGTCTCCAAATCGGATTGAATCGGTTCAAATTATAGTTTTGGTGCAGGTTTCACTGTGAAACTTTCACACCTTACAAAAGCGCACTAGACCGAATCGGACTGGCTGTGTTTTTTATTTTTTAATAATAATAAAATTATTTAAGTCCAATGCTAAATTTCTAATCTCATAACTAATATTTCCCGAAGCCCAACTTCAAAGCACCTGTTCTATGTCAAATCATATCTCTTTGCATGAAATTGGATCATTTGTGAATTTTTAAACCCTAAAAATAAAATTTTAGTTAGAATTTGTAAAAAAAATTGAAAATCGCATCAGAATCGATTCATAATAAAAATTCACCAAAACAGGACCGAACTACACTGGTTGAATAGTACTGATTTCAATCTCGGTATGAAGTGAAAACTGGACCGGATCAAACTGCAAAACCCCCCAATTTGGTAGCCCTGTCATGAGGACGAGCCCCTGATCATGAGATGCAATTTGCTATGTTTGGGCGAAGACCATTCGACCACGCTCGATGCATTTCTTATCGGCCCATAGTTCTGACCCATAACAAAATGGGGCATGCCCAACCCACCTAAGAGAGAGGTGCTATTACAAATTGCCACTTCACTTCCCAAAACATTTTCCCCCACACCCACCTAATTTTTCCATTTTTCATACAAGTATAAGACAAATGGTCATTCATCAGTTGTATAGAAAAATTAAAAACTCATGATGCTGCCTTCTTTTTTCGGTTAGCTTTGAATGTTGATTGCAACGACTCATGTGATGTATCGAGTGCACAAATGTCATTTCAAGTTATTTTATTTGAGCTGGTTTACGTTTAATGAGTTGAGCAAGATTGTGGATGCAATAAATCACGTGTAACATTGTCGAGCGGAGAAAGAGCGCTTAAAAGAACACTTGAGGGTGGATTAACCACGCAATTTAGGATAACAAAATGACGAAACAAACCACCCTCAAGGTGACGTGGAGACTGCCCATTGGCCCAAACAACTGCCTTTTATAATTTGACGCGCCAAAATCTTCGGCGACTCGTAAAAAGTACGGATAATCCGAAAAACAATATCTCCTCATCTCCTCATCTCCTCTTCCCTCCTCTTCCACTTCTCAACTCTCTCCATGAACCACTGAGAGAGTCTGGGACCCACTCAAAATCTCTCATGGCGAAGACTCTCGTCTCATCCACACCGTTCGTCGGCACATCTCTACCGACCATCTCCCGCCGTGGGGCCTACACCCTCCCCTACCGTAGTGGCAATGGACTCGTCTCCACCAGAATCAGCTTCAGCCTCCACGACGTCGTTCCTCCGATCAATCCCTTCGACTCCGGCTCCGACGTCGCCTCACTTTTGAGCCGAGCTGAGGGCCTCCTCTACACGCTAGCCGATGCTGCCGTGGCCGTCGACCCGGCCGCCTCGGGCTCCGCAGACGCCGCGGCTCAGAAGAATGGCGGCTGGTTCGGCTTCATCTCCGAAGCCATGGAGTTCGTACTCAAGGTAGTTTGAATTTCGCAGAATTGTTTAATTTTCGTGAGGAAAATTGTTTCGGATATTATTTGTTGACTTGTATTATGTGAATTGTAATTAGATTTTGAAAGATGGACTTGCGACTGTCCACGTGCCATATGCGTACGGCTTCGCAATTATTTTGCTTACAGTTCTCGTTAAACTTGCCACATTGCCTCTCACAAAGCAGCAGGTTCGGTGCTTGTTTGTTGACACTTTGGCTTCATTTTGATGAACAATATTTTTTTTTTTGGGGTGAATTTTTTCTCATAATATTTGTAATGTGCAGGTGGAATCGACGTTGGCTATGCAAAACCTTCAACCAAAACTTAAAGCTATACAAGAAAGATATAAGGGCAATCAGGTGAGGGGTACTCTTGTTGGTGTGGGTTCATTCAACTGTTGGGTTGGAGTAATTGTTGCTATGTTTGCCCACCTTTGGTTTCTAGTGGTAATTGGTAACCATGGTTTTTCTATAATCTGTTATTCTGGTCTGCTTGCTTTAGGAAAGAATACAACTTGAGACATCACGGCTGTATCGGCAGGCTGGGGTTAACCCATTGGCAGGTAATTGTTTAATTTATCACTATTATGTCCATGTATTTATGCGTGTGCATTTTGGATCGGTCATTTATCACTTTACTTGAATCTGTAAAACTTCAATATAAGTTCTAATTAGACTGAATCTGCATAGTCTCACATGAATTTAATGAGCTGTAAGGTTCAGTAATAAGAAATAAAACGCAGTTGTTCGCCGTGTTGGTTCATCTTGAGATAATTTAGTTTTAGTAATGGAACAATTTTCAGTTTCACTGTAACTTGTTAAACTAAGAAACTTGATGTTTTCCAATGTAATGTTGAGCTGGTGTATTGGATTTAATCTGATCGCTTGATAGTGTTGTGGCATGTTGCCTTGAGCCAAATAAGGAGGCTCTAACTTGTTTTTTGAATGTAGGTTGTTTACCAACTTTGGCCACGATACCAGTCTGGATAGGTCTATACCAAGCTCTTTCAAATGTGGCAAATGAGGTAAGTAGTAGGTTGCCACTACATTTTCAGTGATGCGATGGCTATTATCATTAAAGAAAAAACCAACCTTGCTGATTTTTGCATTTTCTTTTTGTACTCACAGGGGTTGTTGACAGAAGGTTTCTTTTGGATTCCCTCTTTGGGTGGGCCAACAACAATTGCTGCTCGACAAAGTGGATCTGGAATTTCTTGGTTGTTTCCATTTGTGGTAAGATGTTCTTCTGATTTCATGACTTATGAAGCTAACAATTGGTATACTGCTAACTTTAGTGCACCTTAATTGTGAAAGCTTTATGCTAGACACTGATGAGCAAATGAAGAATGGCAAAAACATGAGGTCATATGACTCACGTTTGTTTTTTCCTTCTACCACACTGGTGGAATTATCATTTTGAACCAACTTGAAACTGTGAGCAAAGTGTAAGGATAAAGGTGTTGAAATAAAAACTGTAAGGGTGAAATGAGTTCAAGGTGAAAATATGAAACATGTAATTTAACCTTAAATGATTGCCTTAGGCACATAAATAAGTGGGATTGGTGGTAGGTGAAGGTTGGAAACTTAGATGTCTTAATAATTTGACCATTGTCTTCTCATTTAATATGTTCTACTATTTTACACTTTTAGTTGTGGATCTTTAAATGCATATGGATGGTAAATATGTCAGAACGTTATTACAGTAATTTAGCACATAGTGGAATACCTGTTTTAGTGGATTAGTTGTATCATATTACTACTGAGGCGTTAAATATCCAAATTTCTTTCACAAACTTGTGCATTTCAAGTGGTTCTTACAATGTGTAATTTTTATCATGCAGGATGGCCAGCCACCATTGGGCTGGCATGACACTGCAGCATATCTTGTTTTACCTGTCCTCCTTGTTGCTTCTCAGTATGTTTCAATGGAGATCATGAAGCCTCCACAGGTAAAGACTTGTGTGCATTGATGTTGGTTTCTCTATTTCCATTTGATTCTTTTTTTCCTTTTGCTACAAAGCAAAAATATGGTTGCAGTGATTAAAATATGGGTCATTCAGGTGGGAGCTGATTATTCTAATTATCTGGACTATAACCGATTGTTATATTTGTTTTTGTAACCTTAATGCTTCATTTGGCAGACTGATGATCCAGCTCAAAAGAACACACTTCTTGTATTCAAGTTTCTTCCCCTCATGATTGGTTACTTCTCCTTGTCCGTTCCATCAGGATTATCAATTTACTGGTTGGTTTCTCATTAACAAATTTACTTGATTTATCTTCTTCATGCGTGTAGTACACTAATACATAACTTCTTGTCTGGCTTTTGCTTGGGACTTCCCAAAAGGCACCTGTTGAGGAACATGAACCCACTCCTTCCTTTTAATGTCTTAAGGGTCCTTATTCTTTCTGACAAGTGCTTTAAGAATTTTTGGATTTGGTCTTAGATGTATTGTGGATTTATTGGGTTTAGTGTTTTTATTAAAGGTCCATGGTTTTGGCATTTAATGGTCAAAATTGTAGAGACAGCTTTTTATGAATGAGTTTTCTGCATTCACACTACAAATTTTTGTTGCTACAGTCAGTAGTGCTTTGATATCATACTGTAAAAACCAATCGTTCCAATTCATTTTCATTTTTATTTTTAATTTATTGTTCTCCGTGTGGTTGCCAGCACTTCCATCTTAATATTGTATCGCTTTCCTCGAAATGCAATCTATCGAGGGATAAACAAAATGACTTATATTTTCTTTGCAAGCTTTATCTGGCCTGGCTTTGAAAGATGTTGAATCAAAGCGACCTTGTTTACCCCCATTGTTTATCAGTTGTACCATGTTGTTTACAGGTTCACAAACAATGTTCTCAGCACAGCACAACAAGTATGGCTACGCAGATTAGGAGGTGCAAAGCCTGTTGTGAATGAGAATGCAAGTGGAATCATTACAGCAGGACGTGCAAAGCGATCAGATTCTCAGCCAGTAGAAGCTGGCAGTAGGTTGGTGTTATACTCTGTGCAGAATGCATAATAGTATACTATCAAATCCTGCATAAAGTTTTCTTCCTGACAAATTGAAAAATGATGATCAATAGATTCAGGAAGTTGAGAGAAGAAGAGAAAAAGAACAAGCTGAGCAAGGCATTATCAAATGAAGAGGTTCAGACACTGGCTTCTACATCTGATTCTGAAGCCGGTTCAGATGAAGAAACCAAGGACAAGGTAAAATTATAATTCTGGTGTTATGACGTGATTTATTTTGTAATATGCACAAATAATTTTCTAACTGAGTAACCCTTATCATCATGAGTGCATAATATCAAAATACAACTTTCAATTCAGCCCACTTATTTTGATTCCCCACCCAATCTGGAAATGGGATGTTATTTGTGTTATCATCGTTTTACGAAGAGAAAGACTAATTAGCAAATGAATGTCAAAGGGGAATTTCATGAAAAGCATTTAGCACTTACTCTAATTCATTATATGTTAAATATATCTTATCAGTTAGTTAATTCTACTGTTAGAATGTTTCATTCATTGCCTGTAGTTTAGTATTAAACACTACATGCTTTCAACAAGTACTAAACATGAACGTAGATTAAGAGAGATTTCGATATTGGTTTGTTTTCTGTTAGTGAGTAAATAAAGATAATCAATCTTTGTTAGGACCCGAACTTTAATATGATCCCATTAGTGAATTTTAGGATGTCTAGTTTTTATGTATAAAATTTGTATAAGTTTGGCATTTCGAACTGATTCAGAGATTCTATCAGGGTGAGGAGATTCTAGAGGCGTATGCTTCTACTGTTGGCAAAGAGCTTCCAGATGATCCTCGGCCAAGGAGAAGCAAGCGATCTAAACGGAAGCGTGCTGTATAAATTGACTATATACTGATTAAGTTTGTAGTTCACGGTGAGTCCTGTATATCTCATCCAAGTGTTGTAGTTAATATATCGCCAGCTTTATGCTGGCTCATTCATTTTGAGGTATAATGCAAATCATGCTAATTAGTTCTCACCTGCTTAGACTCTTTCATTCCTCTGGGTGCTAGAAGTGTACTTTCTTGTCAACTTCGTTGCATGAACAACTAAGTAGATAAAAGATACCATAGAAAAATGGAAAACATAGACACGGAGCCATAACATGCTACTAAGGTTTTGCGTAATTGCAATTTTCATCTTCTGGAAGACACAGAAAAGTTGTAAGTTTGTGTTTGTGGTGAATCTTATATTCAAAGATCAGAACTCCGTTGTAATTCCACAATCATACAAATTAATCCGGAAATAGGTTCTCTAAATTAATGCGGCTACGAAACAAATGCAGCTGGTTTTTACAAATCTATAAGCTCTAGGCAGGCAGGCCCGATGTTTTCATATTGTCCTTTTTTCACTCTTTTGCAACTTGCCTGACCCTTTAGACGAGTGGTCGGGTAAATGAAATATGTGAAACTTTTTCTTTTGACCTTTTATCACAACTGTAAAGGGAAGTTAGAAACTTTTCTCAGAGCATTGTACTTTTGCCTTGAGTTTTCGCTTACAAGGTGTCTTCTTTTTTCTTGTAATTCCAGGATTAGTATTTAAGTTAAATAGTTTTACCGAAGATTTTGATTATGGAACAACTACACTAACAAATTTGCTCATGCACAAAAGCTTCTAGAATTCAAATGTTCAAAATTCCAATTTTGTACACTCGCATTCCTCAGAGGAGAGGTTTTTTTTACCTACATGAATAACACTGACCTTCCTTTCTAGCCTCCAACAAATATAATGATCTGATTAGTTCTACATACTAAGTTAAGAACAAGTACATCAAATGTTCATTGCTTTGATGGTGGGCGATGATTCCCTACTGGGTTGGGACCTGATGGAGTTTTATGGATCTTCCTTCCACTGACCTGTTTTTCATTGTTGAACAAAGATGCAAAGAGTCAAGGTAAAATCATCTGACATTAAGTACATGAATGCTGGTTAAGCTCTATACACACCCAAGTAGGTAAAACATATCTGGTTCCGGACCCCGACCCTGAGCCAGGCTGTGCAGAATTGTGCTTGAACTGAACTGTGGCCAGGAACAAAGAAAGCTAACATTTATTAAATATTGAAGGAAACAAGGTACCTGCTCAGCTGCATTCTTTTTCTTTTTAATGATATGAATTTTGTTAAAATGTTTGCTACATTATTTTCTGACATCATCAATAAAAATAGGAGATATATAGTGGTTGACTTACCTGTTTCAATAGCTTGAACATTAATAGTGTAGTGGTATTGAGAAGCTGCAAGCAGGAGCCATACAAGGAGAAGATGAATGGGAGTTTGTCTTCTCATGTTGAGCTTCAGCTGATGATGCATGCTAAAGTGAATAGGAATGATAGGATGTTTGCTGTGGCAAGGGGGGTTTTTTATAAGCAAGAAAAAAAAGTATATTTATAGGACACATAGGCACACTCCTAATCATAGCCTATCTTGAAAAAATTTGTGGGAATGTTTTGTTTAAAAAAGTGCTTGAGAATCCTATGCCGTTACATTTTGCACTGAATTGATAAGATTTGGGAATTTGAGTTGCTCCTCATTATGAGTTGACTTCTTTGCAGTTATCATTTCATCCATGATAAACCTGTTAAGTACATGACAACCATGCTGTCGGCAACTCGAACTGGGAAATTGGGACCCACCATATGCATGTTGATGAACATTGCTGAATTGCTTACATAATGAAATGCTCTGATAATTCCATATTTGTCTCTCCCTTCTTTTTTCTATGATGTCCTTCCTACTAGTGAAACTAAAAGATCTTGATTACCCTTTAGATTTCTAATGCATGGATCATACTAAGTTAAGGCGTGTTCGGTGGGCTGGATTATATGATTGGTTATGATTTATTATCTTAGTCAGATGTTTGGTAGTCTAAAAACAACATAGATTGGATTATGTCTAATCCTGCTAGTAGGGCTGAATGTAGTAGGTTTAAGTTGGATGGGATTGTGTCTAATAATATAATAAGCATATTTTAATTAGTCAAACCCCTTAATCATGTTTAGCATTAAAACACACCAAACACATCATTGGATTAGTGTTATTTTCTCCAATCCAATGTAATTTAACGCCAACCATTTTTCTGAATTTATCTTTAGGGTTCTGCGTGTATCGAGGCAGTGGCTTGTTGTGATCATGATGATGTCCACCACACATGCCTATATGCCTACATCTACAAAAATGCATGCGTTTGTGTTAGTTTTGTCTGTTCTGTTGTGTGAGTGTGAGCTTTCCACCGGAGTCTTTCTTACTCTTTTATTTAGAGAGCTTTCTACGGCACTCTACCTAGAAGCTTTGCTAGAGCAGAAGCACCTGAGAGAAAGAAAAAGGTCTTTTTTCTTTTTAAATCATGATGGGTGCCGTGCTGCTGGTGGTCGAGGCCACCATGACCCTAAACATTTAACTTATAATAGTAATTGATTGCGGATGAAGATTGTCAATGGGAATTCGTTTGTCTTGATTCCCAGAATTTAAACTATTTGATTTTGGGCTCACCTAACTCCTCCAATGAGGTTTCAACTTTCAGCTATGGAAATACAGTTGCATAAATAATGTTAGCAAAGTAGAAAGGTTTTGGAAATTTAAATTAGATGCCAAGACCATGAGGTGAGGTGGATCCTGACGCATGCATTTCGTCATTCTAGTGAACCCAGAAATCCCAATTCTATTTTCAAAAACACGTTAACATTTGCGAGGGCACCAAATCACATTATAAAACTATCCTCACTAGACCCAATTTAATTGAGTTATAAAATTTTGTAAGTGAACCCAACTCACCCCCACCACCAGCTGTGAAACTTCCTTGTTCAATGAACTCAAGTCAAGCACTGATCTCCTTTGTCAACCGCCAAAACTGTTGAGATTGATGCACCTAAAAAGTTGAAGCATTCCCACCGTAGAATGAGCATTTGATAATTTAGGTGTGTAGGTTCTGTGATTGAAAAGTTCAGCAATGGTTTCAAAATAATTTGAAATAAAAATAAGATAACGTCGTGTAAAGATACGCCGTGATTGGCCGAATCTTTACATGGGCCTTTGGTAGTGTGTTGAATAATCCAGTTAGACTCTGTTTGGTGGGTTGGTGTGAACTGATTAGAATTGGCCTTTAAGAACTGAATTGGGCTGACATGAACTGGCTTAGACTTTAACTCCAATCCGGCCCAGTTCTGTACCGAACAACTGGACATGCCTTGTACTGCCGGACTTGGTGGTACATGGTCAAATACCCACTGCATTTTCGATGACTTGCTGCCTGGTCTTCTCCTTTGACGTGATTCGACACTGGTTCACCAAACACGTAACAATTCCAATTGCCAATAGTCAGAATTTTTTTTTAAAACAGAACAGTTGAAAATAAAAATCATGTTTGTACTTCATTTAAAAGACTCCCAAACAACTATCTAAGCATTTATTTGTCATTAAATAGTTTGTTTTCTCCTATGTAAAAGCATACAAAAGAAATCCCTTTGGGTTATACGTCGGACTTGATAGAACAATTTACCACTTATTATGTTCTTTATGGTCAAATTATTTCAAGGTAAGATTGAAAATATACATTTATTAAAAGGTTGAGTTAACTAGTAGAACTGTTAAAAATGAGTGAAAGATAACTTTAGGGTCCCTCGACCCTACTTCTCCCTTTTTTTCCTTTCTTCTTGGTCTCTCTTCTCTTTTCTTCGGCTGATAAACCGGGCGACTCTCTCCCCCGTCATGTTGTATAAAGATTTTCCTCCACAATTTTATTTTGGGTTTTGCTTCTCCCCATTTTTGTGTTAGGTTTTGTTTATCCCCAATCTTTTTGGACTGACTTTTAAAATCTTTTATGTTGATGAGGTAAAGTTGCTAGATCTAGATGGATCTTTCATAGTGGGTGTTGTGCGATCATGTGGGATGCTAGAGGTAATGTGCCTTTTTTTGGCCAAGTGGATGTTGAGCAGTAAGGCCCTTTCACTTTTGGTGCTTTTGGTTCTCTGTTCATGCAGAATCAATTGTTCTCATTGTCTCTATGTAGCACTGGTACTGTAAATACTCTTCTTGATCCTCTACATGTTAACTTTGAGTGAGTTTGGCTTGAATTTGTAATAGTTATTACTCAATATCTTGTTGGATTTATTTTTCCTGATTTATTATATACAAGAACCTCCATTTAAGGTGTGTTCTTTTTGTACATCTTTTGTATTTACTACTTTATTAATGAAATTATGCTTGTTCTAAAATTAAAATAAAAACTTGTAGAACTGTTGGGTGACTCCCCTTAATTATTTTATTATTATTTTTTTTTTCTTTTGCATCTAATTGAACTGGGCTGGGCCTTGTAGGTTGGGTTGGGGGCCCGTATTCACTTCCAACTAACCCGAAAGGTATCAAAGCAGCCATCACTTCCAAGAGCAAAGAATAAAATATTTATGGAAATTCTTAAATCAATGGGGTCTTAAGCCAAAATGTAATGATCATTTAACAAATTCTTCTTCATTCTAACCATGCTCATATAACTCAAACTTTTACAACCAATCGAATATTTTCATGGCTACCAATAATTCTACACCAAATTACTCACAAAACGATGGAGAGCTTCGTACAGCTATTTGCATTTGTCCTGCTGCCTAGAACTCCAAGAAATTTAAAAAGATTACCAAGTTTCGTGCATGTTCTAGTCTAGATTAGTGCAAAATAAGATTAGTTTAACGATAAACTTGTCATTCGTTTTTGGTCAAAGGTTGACAATAACTTCACAAGTTCACATAGTCCATCATTGGCAATGCATTTTCCATGTTCCCATCTGTCGTACCTAATAAAATATGCATCTCCTATCCATGATTTGGGACATGCCCTGTCAAATGGAAACTTCCATAGAGTAAGTTCACTCAGTTAGCTAGCCACGTTATATAGTTGGTTGGCCAAGTGGATGCTTGGAAGGTTCCAATTAATATATGCGGCATACCATTTACAGACATATATAATGAACTACATGCCTTTCTCTATTAGAGGATAATGTTGTCTCCATTATACTTATATTGTCAATTACGCATATGCTTATGAACTCTAAATCCGGATCACTAATCACCTATGTACGTATAGAAAACTTATCTTTTCAAATAGTTCGTATTATATACATGTTCGACTATTTACGAAATCTAAATTATTTATCATGTGAATTCTTGTTCTTTAAAAAAATAATAATAATACAATCGCCAATTAAAAATTTAATCTAAATTCACATGTATTCTAACCACACTATTTTTTATGTGTTTGTGAGAGTGGAAGAGGGTGGTAGTGGTGGATGTGTTTGTTTGACATTCTATATGTATGTATGCATTTTTCTTGTGGGCAAATACACAAACCAAGAAGTCTAACTTAATTTTACCGCGTCCCTCGAGCTACTAAATTGATGTTTAAACAAAGGTACCATTAGTATTATATAGGGGGTTTGGAGGAGTTAAGACTTCTTTGTATATTTATTTTACCATAATTTTAGTATATCAAGGTCCTCGTCCCGCTGGATTTGTGGTACAATATTGACAGAGACTAGGATTTGTCCAAAAATAAACAGTCAACAAAATGAGAAACTCAAAGATTAGGATTTAAAAAGTACTTAGGCCTTGCTTATAAATAGAGGCTGCAAAGATGCGCAAGTCATTGTGTAGCAATTAGCATACTGCAAATTCCACTTAAATTCGTACAGATCAAGATTCTTGAAAATGTATAGAGATTTCGCTATCTATTTCTAGCAATTCATTTCACAATGCTGTGTTGTTGGTGATTGTCACATTATTATGATTACATTAATTGCTCTAATTTTCTTTTAACTCAACTGTGTTATTTCAAATACCTTTATCTGTATGCCCATGTCTGCGGATGTGCTCCCCACTATGCACCCAAATTCGAATCTTCTTCCCCGTACTTTAAATTAGATTAAAACTAGCTACTAAAGCTAGGAAGCTTGGACTTCTAAAATTTTAAGCATCTATGCAATATTATTTTCTTGTGTCTAATATTTGTGATTATTTGCATTTGCAGAAAGAAAGTAGACAAAATGACTACTAGCCAGTTATCTGATGCCGCCATTCAAAATCTCTTGAAGTTGTTTCTCAGGTTCCCCTACTTATTCAAAATCTCTTGCTCTAAAAAAACTACATTATTGAAAGCAGTAGAAAAAGTCATGTGCTGATGAAATGGTAACTTGGTTGCAGTGAGAAGGAAGAGTACCTGGACGATGTGGCTGCGGCCAAGATTGATAACATAACCGTTGAGATGCAATGGACCGGGCAGACCGGACCGGCTTGGCCACCCAGACCGCTCGGTTCTTCTGATGACCCAGTTAAAAGAATTATAGATGGGTTCAAGTACTTCAAGACCAACTATTTCGAGTAAGATGGCTGTTCTTGCTGCTGCCGCTATTTGATAGAGCTGGGTCTCCCTTAACTATTTTAGAAACTTTTATTCCTTTCAAATGCAAAATGTTAAATAAATTAGTAATGCAAGCAAATAATATTTTCATTTTGGGGTAGCCTTTGCAGCAAACATCCACATTTGGTAAAGGAGCTGGCCCAAGAACAAAGCCCCAAGGTATACAGAGCCCATACCATTTAAAGAATCAATTAAGTATATGTATATTAATCAAACTATATTTTATTTCTAAAACTTATTTACACTAACATTTTTTGAGGTTTTCGGTGTTTTTAGAAAACGACTGTTCTTTGAAACATTACACCAATACCCTCTGAGGTTTCAAATTATTTTCACAAAACTCCTTTTCGTTTATTTTTCATCCCAAAAAATGATGATTTTCATATTAAAAAAACTTATACAAAAATGACAAAATTAACCTCAATGTCTGTGCAATCATAAAGCTCTAACTCTATGATATTTTTATTCTAACTTTCTTTTGCTAAACTCCAACATGCAGTTTATGGTATTTGCATGCTCAGACTCCCGAGTGTGCCCCTCGCATGTCCTTCATTTCCAACCTGGGGAAGCCTTCATGGTTCGCAATATCGCTAACATGGTTCCTGCCTTTGACCAGGTTTAATTAATACTCTAATCAAATTTCAAAAAAAAAAATTTATTGTTAATTAAATTAATTCTTGCTAATATTTGTTATCTGCTTCACAGCTGAAACACTCAGGAGTTGGAGCAACCATAGAATACGCTATTGAAGAACTAGGGGTAAAACATTTCAAATATCTTTTTTTTATTTAATCACATTTGAGTTTTGTTTGATTAAATATTAATAGGGAGTTTCACTAAAACACCCAAAATGGGGTCTGAAATTATCAAAAAACCCAAACACTATTTAAACATATAAACACACCAAAAACCCATCATTACACACACTCAAAACCCATTTATAAACACACCCAAAAAGTTGACTTTGGGGTTGATTTTGGGTGTGTTTCTATGTTTAAATAGTGCTTGGGTTTTTTTATAAATACATGTCTAAGATTGGGTTTATTTATAAATTTGTAATATTAATACTACTGCTTATCAAATATATTGATGCTAATTAACAAGGAGAGACAAATTTACAGGTAGAAAATATTTTGGTAATGGGACATAGTCGTTGTGGCGGGATCAAGAGGCTGATGTCTCATCCAGAAAATGGTTCTACTCCCTTGTAAGTTTTCTGACATACAAAAGTTATAGCTTAAAACATAAACATACTTGATTAGCTCAGATTAAGAATCAAACAAGTGGCGAAATTCGACAACTAAAATCATTAAGATATGCTAATGATTTTGCTTCCATTGGATTGAAATTTGCAGTGACTTTATAGATGAATGGATGAAAATTGGTTTACCTGCCAAGGCTAAGGTTATAGCAGAAGCAGAGGGGGGAAGTGCAGATTTTGAAGATCAATGTGAAAGTTGTGCAAGGGTAAGCCAAAGCACCCCCAACCCCCAAAATGAAATTCATAATTAAATCTTACTCAACATGATCTTCTTATATTAATGAAATTAATAAATTAATGTTTATGCAGGAAGCAGTAAATTTGTCACTGAGAAACCTACAAACTTACCCATATGTTCAGAAGGCAGTCTCAGACAAAACCCTAGCACTGAGGGGTGGCTACTATGACTTTGTAAATGGAATTTTTGAGCTTTGGGGGCTTCAGTCCACCATTTCAGACCCAATCATCATTCAATCTTCTTAACTGCATGCTTCTGGGAGCTCTGTGAATAAGTGATAACAAATAAAGCACAGGACCTCCATTCATTCTTTATATGTACCTTCTTTCTTTTTTATAATAATTTTTTTTCAATTTTTTATTTAATTGTAATTGTTGTCAATTTTTTATTTATGAAAAGTGTGGTAATAAGAATTGCTGCCAGGATTGAAATAAATTCCATGAGTGTTACATTCTTTACATAGCTCAAAATATAATGCATGGGATGGGGATGACCTTGATGTTGTGGCCATTGCAAATTGCAGCTATGATTGGGAGGCTAACGACAGAGTAACAAGGGGTCGATTCTGCTACCGATGCAGTTCCACAAATAATAGATAGCTTCAACTCCTTCCACGAAATGTTTGTTTGGTGTTTCAGCGTAATGAACAAAGAATATATAAATATTGGGATTTACCTGAAAATACGAAATCTCAAGTTTATTGAATGATAATAGGAATAACAACACAAAGGGCAAAGCTAAAGTAATTGTTGACGAAAACAATAACAGTGGAGTTAGAGAGAATACCAGGCATACCAGGTATAATATAATACCTTCATGGTTGTCAAAGGTGCAGCAGTTTCAAATTTCATTGTCCACAGATGGATATAAATTTCACAATGATTTTCTTATCAAAGGCAACAAAGCAGGATCGACTTCATCTTTGCACAATAAATTTACTATCAATTCCATTGTTGATGCATCCGCAGAGAAACCATTCTCCACCATTTGTCGAATAAGTACCATCGCCCTTGATGTCTCATTGTTATTGATAAGCCCTCGGATAATCGTGTTATAGGTCCGATCATTTGGAGAGCACCCTTTCTCTTCCATTTCAATAAGCAACTCTTCTGCTTCACTTGTTAGGCCACCGAGACAGAGTCCATTAATCATTACATTGTATGTCACTACATCAGGTTGAAGTCCTTTTGATGATAAACCACAAAAGAGATCCCTTGCAGATTCAATTTTTCCAGCTATGCACAAACCATTAATAAGAATGCTGTAAACCTTAATATCAATATCCAACTTCTTGCCTTCCATCTCGCGAAACAATTGCATTGCTTTAGAAAGTTGTCGGTTTTTACACAGGCCATCCAGTAGAACATTATAAGTTATAATATCTGGAAGTTGGCCCGAAGTCTGCATCTCAAAGAACACCTTTTGTGCATCCTGTATTCTACCCACTTTGCAAAAACCGTCCACAATAATGTTACAAATAATGTTATCTTGAACCAGTCCCTTACGAGACATATCCAGAAAAAGCATCCTGGCCTCATCGATTTTTTTCTGGTTACAGTATCCATTTATCAATATGGCATAGCTAAAACCATTAACCATGGACCCCTTGCTAAGCATTAGTTCAAAAACCTTTTTCGCCTTGTCCATTTCTCCTTGCAAACAGTAACCATTCATAAGTGAACTGTACGTAACCACATTAGGTTCCATATCCCTTTGAATCATCATTTCGACCACGCCTTCTGCTTCCACAACCATGCCCTCCTTGCAAAGTGTGTCTACCAAGACAGTGAAGGTGTGCACATTTGGAAAAATATTTTTACTCTCCATTTCTTTCAACAACCTTGTAGCTTCTTTCCACTTGCCTAATTTGCAAGCTCCCTGAATCAACGCTGTATAAGTCCTGACGTCTGGGGCAATACCCTTGCTCATCATTTCTGAGAAGAGGTTCAATGCATCAACAAGTAGGGTATCTTTACAAAGACTGTCGATAATCGTGTTATAGACAATAAGGTCAACCTTGAAAGCTCTTTCCTCCATTTTCCTTAGCAACTGAATAGCAGCACCATTGTTGCCTTTCATGCAAAGGCCTTTGACTAGTGTGCCGAAAGTAATAGCATTAGGCTGACAATTACCTGCCTTGATCATTTTATTGAAAATTCCTGCAGCCTCAACCACTGTATTCTCGAGAAGAAAGCCGTTAATTAGAGTGTTGACGGTAGCGACACTTGGTTCAAAACCAAGTTTGAAGAATTTTCCCAAGACAGAAAAACTAGACCCCATTTGGTTCAAATGACAAAAACAATTAATGAGAATGTTCAGAACATAAACATCAGGTACCATTCCCGACACAGCCATTTGGTTATACGACGAGATGACCCTCGAATACTGTTTCAATCTCGCAACTAGGCACAAGACTTGAGTAAAACGAAAAAGTGGAGGCAGGGGACGCAATTGAAGCATTCTATCAAACACAATGAGAGCATCCTCAACATTTGTGATTTTGGGAAAGTCTTTCGCTAGCTGGTCTAGTTGGGTTCTTCTTCTTCTAGAATTTTTTGCTTTAGAAGCTTGAGAGCGAGAGAAGAAAGCAAAGTAATTGTTGACGAAAACAACAGTGGAGTTAGGGTGAAGACAAGGCATACCTCTGCTGCTGCTGCTGCTGCAATAACAAGAAGCAGCAGCATTTGTTCGCATCATCATCTTCAGCATCTCTGTGAGTCTGAGTCTCAGCCAACCTTCAAAGATAGCAGCAAAGATAACTGGGGAAGGAAAGCTCAACTCTCTTTTCTTCTTTGATGAATTGAAAAATACCCAGGCACTCTCTCCAATAATAGCAGAGTTGGAAGAAAAACATGAGAGTGAACAGCAGCCAATATATACGTTCTCTGCTTGCCGCCCTCTATGTGATTTATATATGTCTTTTTGAACTTTTGATATGCTTGGGCGTTTCTTTCTTCGGATTTATAAAGAACCGCAAATTGGTAATTTGCACAGGGATCATGTGAAATTAATTACTTTGCAAGAAAATTAGACTACAAATAAATGCATTAGTTTAGTTTAATAAACAAGAAAAATCAACTAGTTATTTTGATATAATTTTATCAGTATTTCAAAAGTGGGGTATGACATTGTTGGTTAGGCTCTTTCACCTCCACTAATGTGGGTATCATGCATCCAATGAATATTTGTGTATTTCTATTCTAGGATCGAGAGTCTCTAGACAACACAGTCTTCATTCTCATCAAATGGGCTCTTTATAAATTATAAATAGAGAGTTTCACTAAAATATCTAAAATGGGAGCTGAAATTATAAAAAAACCTAACACCCAAAATACTTTATAAACACACTCAAAACCCATCATTACACACACTCAAAACCCATTTATAAATACACTCAAAAAATATACAATTGTTGACTTTGGAGTTGATTTTGGGTGTGTTTCTATGTTTAAATAGTATTTGGGTTTTTTTATAAATACATGTCTATGATTGTGTTTATTTATAAATTTGTATTATAAATATATCATAAAGGGCATCTTTTATCCCACATTTCAAAATTCAAAATAAAATAGTGCTGCTATTTCCACCTCCTTGTCCTATTTTTTCACTCACCTTATCTTCTCACCCCTCATCTAAATTTGAAAAAACACAATCCTATCTTTCCACCCACCATTATCCCTAAAATACCATTTAATTATTAATTCAAGCAAATTAAATATCATTGTGTATCTATTATGACACTTTTTAAACCATTAGATTAACACTCATTCAATTCAATAGCTGAGATTAAAACTTCACTTATAAATTTTTGTTTCTTTAATAATATCATTGTGAACATCAAACTGCTCTGATTTTAATAATAAAGATGAGAGGAAAAGAAAAAAGAAAAAAAGGGAAACTAATGTCGTTAAAATTCTTTCTTGAGCATGAAATTGAATGCGCCAGGATAAATGGAAAAGCCATACCACCGCCAGACTTGGACTAGGATGGTTTAGAGGAGAAGAAAAATGCACACAAGGATATGCCAGGAGAGAGAAAATTATAAACATATAAGAGAATAAATTTTTCCTAACCCAGAAGGATGTAACAAAGCATGCACCATTAAAGTTGTGTTCAATGTTTGCAGGATAGCCCCAACCCAATGACATATATCATTGGCAGCATGATCCTGCTGGAAGAAGTCTTATGTGAATTTTTTACGGCTATTTTTTTTTTCAAGAAACTAAAGATTATCCATCTCAGGATGATTTTAGTTTAGACATGCTCTGGTGGGTTAGAAAGTTATTCTCTTTCAACTTTTGAGTTAGAGAAGATAATGAGAGAGTGGAGAGAGAAAGTACGATTTTAGGGGAGAGCAATTTATTTTCCAGAAAAAGAGTCGAACAAGAGACAAAAATAATATTAATTATTATTTTATAAGTCGATAATCTGAACCGTCGATAGTAGATGAATTTAAAGGTGTTAGAAGTAATTTTACAAAGGAGTAAATTTGTCTTAAAATTTTGAAAATAAGATGAGCGGGAAAATATGATAGGTGGGTGGAAATAGCAGTACTCAAATAAAATTGGGCACCCCAAAAACGCACCTTTTTATATTTATTATTTTGATATAGCCCATAAAAGAATGCAATAGGTGAAATTTGGAAGAGAATCTAAAAATCTTATTATTAAAAATGTTGATGGTTATCAAATTCAAAAGGGAAGGTAAAAATTGGATGCCCTTTTCTTTTCTCACAAAGGTGGAGACTGTTCAGGGCAGCGGCTTTGTGGATGCTGCTGCTTATCCACTTACGTACCCAACGTGTTTGTCGTGACCGTCCACCTCGAAGTAACCGCATGCACTCTGCTCCCTCTGGGGCCTCTCTCCCCATAAAACGACACCGCTTTGTCTGTCAAAGTACGTACCCCATGTCACATGCAGTACCCACTTCACATATTTCTTTCTAAATTAAGATGCGAAAGTTCGAATAACATCAGCACTTTTCTTTTCTCTTGTTACCACCATTCTCAAAAACTCGAACATGATTTGAATGTTGGCCAACAATTATTATCTTCGATAATATAGAGAAATATATGTTGATAGGAATCTTGCGAGGATGAACTCTATTTGTATATCAAATGCTCACGGTCGCAGTGATTAGGCCGGGGAGACTGTTTTCAAAAAAATATGGCTCACCTTAAAGTCAGATTCCACCCATTGCAAAGTGAAGAAATGTTTGAGTTCTATTAGCAAATTGCTCGTGCGTAGTAGATGTTATTTATCATGACACCCACTTGCATTAACGGTTGATAATTGTTTAAAAAATATAAAGTAAAACTGCATATTTTTAATATTTTAAACGATATTTTTAAGGGAGTTTCACTAAAACACCCAAAATGGAGGTTGAAATTATAAAAAAACCCAACACCCAAAACACTTTATAAACACACCAAAAACTCATCATTATACACACTCAAAACCCATTTATAAACACACCCAAAAAGTTGACTTTTGGGTTGATTTTGGGTGTGTTTCTATGTTTAAATAGTGCTTGGGTTTTTTTATAAATACATGTCTAGGATTGAGTTTATTTATAAATTTGTATATTTTTAATCACAAATTAAAGGAGATTTTAATTGCCTTTACACTTGTCAAAGTTCCATTTCAACCCTCCTCTTTCATCTCCTTTCTAGATGTGAACTCAATTTTGAAAGCCACTGTGTGTCTGTATCGTAGGGCAAGCGGGATCCTGTCTCTAGCGTATGTATATGTATACCTGGCTATAAGTACAAAATCCAAAAAGCATGCTTTTGCTTTTTTTTTTTTTTTTTTTCACGTAAAGCCACACCCACACCTACTGTCTGACAGACTGAACCCAAGGGCAATTCCGTCTTTTCGACTCCTTTTTCCACAGCCATGTTCCCATCCCATAGGTGTATCTTCCTCTATAAAACCCAGGTAAAACCCTTCCCTTCTCACACGCATTCATTCACAAACAAAAAACAATGGCTTCCTCTTACCACCACAAAACCCTCACTCTCCTCCTCACCACATTCCTGATCCTCTGTGCTCTCGCCCACGCCACTTCCCCTGCACCATTTTTGACTCTGGTCAACAACTGCCCCTTCCCCCTCTGGCCCGGCATCCAGCCCAACTCCGGCCACCCCGTCCTCGAGCGCGGCGGCTTCTACCTCCCCGCCCTCTCCCACCGCCCCTTCCCCACCCCGACCCAGCCCCGGCCGGCGCGGACCG